CTGTTTTCATTGGCCCGCAAATATTAATATGGACCAATCAAGCTTCTCTTTGGCTCTCCATGAGGCTATGGACCAATCAAGCTTCTCTTTGGCTCTCCATGAGGCTGCATTAGGGAATGCTTGCCTCTGTTGTTTGCCCATATGACAAGGCCCATAAATAGCATTAGATTGTGAAATTTTAGGCAAATCCCTCACCAGATTTTGCTTGTGCAATAAAGAGAGAGCATGATAATTGTAATGGCAATACCTTCTATGCCATAATCTAGACTCATTAGCTATTAAAAGATTTGCACTTTCACCAATAGAATTCCAATTAATAAGAAAGCATTTATCAATCATGGGCAATTTGGCAATCAGCATGTCAATAGGGTCATAGATAGAGCAACTTCTATTTTTAAAAGATAAAGAGTAATTATTTTGCAATATTTGAACAATACTCAGTAAATTCGTCCTTTATCTGTTGTGACAACCACAGACCCTTTCCCTTAAGCTTCAACAACATAGCCATTGCCCAACTTCACCTTGGTTTTGATGGTTTTATCAAGTTGATTGATGTGACATCCTACCGAGTCGAGTCTTAGCACTGAGTCGAGTCATTTCATAGAGTCGAGTTGAGTCGGGCCAAACCAAACCCGGTTGTCGAGTTGAGTCGGGCCAAACCAAACCCGGTTTGGGGTAGAATGGTATATAAGTGGACTTAACTTGAATTGAGAGAAAAGATCAAAGCATATGGGTGAGGATTTATTTGCATTAAAGACCAAGCTTGGTTCTTAAGTAGTAACTCTGTTGACAATTTGAGGTACCATTTAGGAAGTTTCCATATAAAAATTTCATTGATTTTTGATGGCCTACCCGTAAATAACCATTTCATCTTTCCGCCATTTTCATCTTTAAATCTTCAATCTATCTTCATCGTCCTTCCTTCTCCCAATCATTCCTGGTAGTTAAGCCTTAAACTTCAATCTTCTCTTCTATCCAAGTAAGTAAACCTTCTTGAAGTTCATAATTGAATCATTTTGGTGCTATTTTTAGAATATTCATAAGAATTCTTATTTTATAGGTGAAGTGAGTTCAAAGGTAAGTAGAAAGGAAAGTTAAAGAAGAGCTCAAAGCTTTTTGGAGTAAAAGGTTTGATATCTCTTTTCATTTAACCATTTTCTTTTGCAGCGAGAATTTGTGTGGTGTGTTGCTAATGAGAAACTATTGCTTTGTTGAGTGGGAGGACTGGTAATGGTGAGAAAACAGGGGAGGAATTGAAATAAATGAGTAAATAGTGGGTTTAGTTGCTGAAACAGGGTTTTGCTGGAAATTTTACCAGTAAATTCAATCTTGATTTGACGGCCATTTAAATGATGGAATTAGAAGTGTTTATAGAAGAGTTATTTGTTTCCTCTAGTTATTTGTTTCCTCTATGTGTTAGCTTTACATGGGGTTTTTGAATCATTCAAATCGGAGTGTATATTTGAAAGAGATATGACAAAAGAAGTACCAGACTGTGCAGGCTTTGGAAACGCGACGCCGCCGCGCGAATTGCATGACGAGCTCGCGAACTTGTGCCTGAAAGCTCACTGACTCTCCATTTTGCACTTACGCCTCGTGACTTTTCATTTGCCGCAGCTCGCAACTTTCACCTAAACTCTCTACTCTCATTTGGTGCTTTACGCGCTCGCCGACTTTGCACTGCGCGTCGCGACTTGTGCCTGATAACTCACTGACTCTCATTTTTTGGCATCTTCGCGCTCGGCGACTTTGCACGGCGCGCTCAGCGACTTGTGTTTTCATGCACTTTTGGACTTTATTTTCTATGCAATTGGATTCCTTGCTCAACTTGTATGCCTCCAATCATTTTACAACAAAAATACAACATTAGAACATGTATCAAAACAACATGCAAGATACAAAATGATGTGAAATCAAAATAAACATTATGATTTATGAAGTTTATGAACTATGAATATGATGTTGTGTTTATATTATTTGACATACCAACATTTAGGCTCCTTGAGGTTAGGTAGAACCATTAGATAAGGCTATGTCGCGACATAGGAATAGCAGATCTGCACCCCATACAGTTTTGATACCTCCGGCTACAGGCCGTGAGTGGATTATGATTATATACTGGGCCTAGCAGCCAAGCATACAGTATTCATTCCAGTTTCATCAGTTTTTTCCTTATCACTTCGGTTTCAACTGTAACCTTTATGGAGCCATATACAGATATCTTGAATCTTGACATAACATTTCATGAATCATACAGTCTTATCACCCAGTACGAAAGATAATCAAGGTATAAGGAAAGGATCATGCTATATGTGCTTATATGTTTAGTTATCCATATGCATTTACATGCTCATTTTATCTATGTATGTGCTTAACTGTTTCTTTATGTGTTGAGATATCCACTGAGCTTTATTGCTCAGCGAGTTACCTGTTTAACTCGCAGGTTTTGAGATTGGACCGTAGAGAGTCAGCCTGCAACTGCTGCAGTTCATCTGTAGAAGACTCAGTATTCAGGGTAGCTACTCATTTGGATATGTATTTTTTTGTCTACCCTTTTTATGGCATGTACAGGGTACAGGGCACACAGTTGGGCCCATTATTCATTTTGACACTAGTATCATGTCTTGTAAATATAATTTACAATTATTATTGTAAACAACATTAGCATGAAATATTATATTCAATATACATTATGATATAGCATGACAAAGACATAAAGTCAACCAGTTTTGATGATATCAGCATGACAAGACATAAAGTCAACCAGTTTGTAGCATCTCGGTTCGGTTCATTCGGGTTAACGGGTGGACCGGGAAGGGATGTTACAATTGAAATCTCCTATTCCTTACCCATATGACTTGTACAACCACTGTCTATGAACTATGCTCGTTTGGTTCATTCAAAATTTGTGAAGCCATGAATAGACTAGTCTTGTTTGAATCTTCTCCTTCTTCTTTGCAATTCGGTTGCTGTTGTGGTCTTGATTTGACTTTGATCTGCAATTTTTTTTCAATGTGGCCATACTTTTTACAAGATCTACACTGGATGGGAGGTTTATCTTTAAACCAACAGTCCTTCTCCTGATGATTTGTCCTCTGACAAATGCCACACAATGGGAATTTCCCCTTTTTCCCAAATTCTTTCGAACCAGCTCCATTCTTCCTTTTATCGTCTTTCTCACTATAATGTTTCTTCCCCTTTATTGTCTTTCTCTTTTGCTTGGCTTGAAAAGCCCCATCAGACATTCCATCTCTTATAATTTGATCTTTGCTCCTAAGCTTGAAGCTTGCTTATGAATTCAGCAATGGTTAAAGTTTTAACATTATAAGATTCCTCTATTGCAGAAATCTTGGACTCAAACTTTGATGGTAGACTTATCAGCATCTTTTCTACAACTTTAACATCAGGAAATTCCTCACCAGATAGCCTATTTTTTTGACTAAATCAAGTAGCTTTGATGAGTAGTCCTTTACAATTTCTCCATCCTTCATCCTTAAATTCTCAAATTCCCTCTTCAAAGTTAGAAGTTTAACTGACTTGACCCTGCCACTCCCTTCAAACTCATCCCATAATTTTTCCCAAGCCGCCTTTGGTGATCACAAGCCATTATTCTTGTGAAGATCACTTTAGTAAGGGCTGATTAAATACAAGTCAAAGCCCTAGGTTTCTTGGCTTTCTGCTGTGCATAAATTTTTTTTGTGCCATTATTGGATCAGGACCTAAAGGTGCTGGATCTGTCCCAACTTCCACCGCTTCCCATAAATTCAATGCCTTTAAATAAGACTTCATTTTAATTGCCCTAATGTGATATTATCCCCTATAATAAAAGAAGGACCAGTGCCCAATAAATTGCTGGAAGCCATGTTCACTCTCTCAGGTGTTTACGCTCTCTACCATTCACAGGTCCCTCAAGAATTCTACTCTGCTACCACTGTTAATATTTTTAGTATAAAGAATAGAAAGAAGATAAAATTTAGAATAGATTTTCCTTTTCTTTTTTCATTGATCTTATATCTGCAACAAAGCTTATATACATAAAAGATACATTACAAAAGTTAAAGGAAAGTCACACCTAATACAACCTAACTAGCAGCCATAACTCTAACAAAAGAAACTTTCTTAATTTTCGGGATAGCCATTCCTTTTCCTCTAAATTTTAGGCACAATTATAAAATATCCCTTAACTTAGGAATGCCTAGAAAAATCTTACACCTAACACCTTATGTACAATGGGAAATTGAAGGAGCCTTTTTATATAGATCATAAAGGCCTTGGCCTAATCACAGCCCACAAGATTGCTATTTTAGCCTCCCCTAATGAGGCTAATTGCACTGTTATGATAATTTATCATTAGGAATTCGATCTTGCCTTTTGTAGAATTGGAGACTCCTCTTAGACTAGTTTAGGGAATCAATTTGAAACATATGTTAGTGACATTATATATCCTAAGAAACACCAATTGTTTTATGCCATTACTGATGGTAGGGATATTCAAACATGGGATCTCAAAAACCCATTACCAATAAAGTTCAGTTGCTGAAATCAAGAATACTGATAGCCAATATTCATCAAAGCCCCCAAAAGAAGTTTCAAAAGTGATGTTTTTACGTTGCAAGTACTTGGTTGAATCACCACAAGAGGATATTCTCAAAGTGGTTTGATATCAAGCTAGTGTCAGTTAAGATGGTTCCTTGTTAGATGAAAGTGATTTTACTAAAGAAACAAAGGCTGTATGTTTTGATGTTAGCAAGAGGGATTTTAAAAAGCAACTTCAGAACATGTGGATTGTCTAGCTTGTTAGAATAAAATCTGATTATGATCCTGGTATCTGAATTTGATCCTAGTATTTGAATCTAATCCTAGTGTGTCTAATTCTGATCCTAGTGTATCTGATTATGTATCTTATTATATCATAATGTATCTCATTATAATTCCTTGTACACGTATATAAAGGGTGTTGTATAATGTAAATCACACAGCAATATAATATAAATTCCTTCTCATTTTACCCTATTTGCAGTATTAGAACCTGCTCCACTATTTTGATACTCTCTATATGTCAATGTGTCAAGAGCAAAAGATTTGTTCCATGCAAGCCAGCTTACTAGGTCAATAATATCACTCATATCAGTTTGCATTATGATAGTCCTTGAGTATAGCTTCCATGGTCTGCCTAAATAAGTACGAAAACTACTTATCACTTCTTCTAATTCTTTAGTTGCACTTATTCTACATTTTTTAATAACTATGCTTGTAGACCCATTAAGAGTTTTATGAACTTGTTCAGTGAGCATATTCTCTTATTTTGGATTGAGGCGCGGGCTTTGATGTCAGAATCTTGGATAACAACTGTTGCATCTCCAAATATGAAATTTATAGTACCCATAATAATACATTTGACATAGAATTGGCGACCTCCATGTACATAGAGAGTGTCTGGATATCCTATAAAGGCACAATGATAAAATGTTGATTAATCTGAATCGACCTGCAAAGCAACAGCTTGCTCCTTTGATGATCCAAAAATTTTTTCAAAGGTTATGTCTTGGGCTAAGAACCCCTTCGCCTTGATGCCTATAATTACAAAGTAGAATGTGGAGCCATCATCAACCTTATTCTTATTTCTAGCGATTATGGTCTGTTCGCTCCCATCACCCAAAAACATAATATTAGTTTTCGAACTTGGCACCACCATTGTTTCTCTATAAACCCCTACTTTAATCTTCATAATATATCTTGATGTAACTCCTGATGGTGCATTATTTACTGCATCCATAATTGTCATGTAAGTTCCACTCCCATCAGCTGACACAATCACATCAGGAGTTAATTCGTCAACTAACACAACTACATTAGGAGTTAATCTTCTAGCCTGTAGTATCCTACGGTCCTTGCTGACATCCATTTAGGCCATTCTACTCCATCTTCTCCCTCAAGCTTTCTTTCTAATGAAGTTTTTCCTTATTATTAGCCATATCCATGCCAATCATGTGCTTAATCAAATCTAAGGCATTTATAAGGTTGTTAAAGTGATTGGGAGGAGTAAAAACCTTGCAATCCTTAGGCAAGTCATAAGCTTTTGTAAGATTAATGTCAAGACTAGTCTTTAGTGCTTCACAAACACATTTTATATTAAAATGGAGAATAGATTCAAAACCAGCGCAACATGAAGCATCTAATGGAACTCTACTTCCAGTCAATAAGGTAAGCAATCCACCATGTCATATATAATGGCATGGTGATTCAACAGGTGATTATGCATTTTCGTAATGGCAGGAATGCGAACAATTGGCTAGCAAGGCCAAGATGGAAATAAAGAATAGAAATCTCATTTTTAATGATGGAAGATGAAAGCAAAGTGCGAGTATTGATGTTGGTTGATGTTCTTGTTCTTGTTTCTTTCTTTCTTTGATCACACCACCTGCAGTTCCTCTAATCAAACCACCTACCTCAGACTCTCCTCCTGCTCCTATTGATCCATTTGCTCTTACAGGCGATCTCCTTTCTTCTTCCAACAATGCTCCTCCGGCACCTCCCATCCCTGCTGACACTCTTCATAAGGTTCGTACTTTTTTTGGTAGAGTAGTCAGACCTAATATTCGTTTTAATGATTATTATTATTATTTTGCTCTTGCAACCCTTCATGAACTTACCACCTTTAAAGAAGCCTCCATTGACCCCCTTTGTCAGAAAGCTATGAATGAACAATTAGAAGCACTTACTAAAACTGACACTTAGGACTTAGTTGATCTGCCTCCAAGTAAATCTATTGTAAGTTGTAAGTGGGTGTATAAGATCAAGACTCGTGCAGACTGGAGTATTGAACAGTATGAAGCACGCTTAGTTGCAAAAGGATACACACAAGAATATTGCATTAACTATGAGGAGACTTTTGCTCTTATTGCTCGCCTTACCTTTGTACGAGCTCTTATTGCTATTGCTTTAGCTCGACAATAGTCTTTTTATCAGATATTAAAAATGCTTTTCTTGTTGGGGACTTATTTGAAGAGGTATATATTAAACCTCCACCTAGTTATCCACACTCTCCTCATCAAGTGTGTCATCTTCGGAAAGCACTCCATGGTCTCAAATATGCACCGTGAACTTGGTTTTTGAAGTTCAACTTTATTCTGGGCCAGCTTGGTTTTCATTTTAGTACTTATGATTCAGCCCTCTTTCATCGTCAAACCAACTCTGGATTGGTCATTGTTTTACTTTGTGTGAATGATATGATTATCATTGGAGATGATACTTCGGGCATTCGTGATCTCAAACTCTCTCTAAGTTAAAAGTTTGAGATGAAGGATCTTAGAAGTGAATTCTAATTCTAATGGTTACTATCTCTCTCTGACTAAGTATGCCTTAGATTTGATTTCAAAATCTTTTATCTCAGATAACACCATTGTTCAATCTCCGATGGAAGAAAACTAGGAACTTAGCGCTCTTGGTGTGGAACCTCTTCGTGATCCTACTTTATATTGCTAGCTGTTTGGTAGTCTTATCTATCTTATAGTTACTCGACCAGATAATGCTTATGCAGTGCATCATGTTAGTTTGTTCATGACCTCTCCTCAAACTGTTCATTTTGCTGATGTACTTCGAATTCTACGATATGTCAAAGGCACTATCTTCCATGGTTTATTTTATTCATTCTCTTCATCACTACAGTTGACTGCCTCTTTTGATGCTGATTGGGATAGAGATCCTTCGGATCGATGATCCACGACTGGTTTTTGCTTCTTTCTTAGTGATTCTCTCATATCTTGCCGAAGCAAGAAACAAACCATTGTTTCTCGCTCTAGCACTGAATCTGAATATCAAGCTCTTGTCGATACTACTACTGAGTTGGTTTGGTTATATTGGCTACTTGAGGACATGGGTGTTTCCTTGATAACACCCACTCTTATTCACTATGACAGTCAAAGTGCTATTCATATGACACACAATGATATCTTTCATGAACAAACAAAACATATTGAGATCGATTGTCATGTTACTCGCACTCATCTGACTCATGGTTAATAGGTCCTGATCAGAGCTAAAGATTTAAGAAAATAATATTATGCTTTTGGTGAGAATGAACCATTAAGTTCTGTTGTAATTTTTTCCTCCTTTTTCCAGTACTGCATAATTCTTGAATTTAAATACAAAAGAAATAACTGACTCGTCCTAAATTTCTGCAACAACCACTTGAAATTAGGACTCTACTACCACAACCACTTGAAACTAGGACTCTAGCAACGTGCACAACTAAATAGTTGGCATTTATTTAAAAAGCAAAATAATGGTTAACAAACTTTACTCATTCCTTACTAATAGTAGATCAAGTCTTCATGCAGTCGATCCATAAATCTCGGACATGTCTTGATCTTCGTGGCTTAATAGTGGCACCCTTCAATTCATTTTCGTCTCATCTTCTGATCAGCTTGCAGACATCTTCACAAAATCCTTTTTTGCTTTGGCCTTCCAATGTCTACTTTCCAAATTTAGATTGGTTTCCAGTTACCCACCTGAGTAGTGTATCTCATTATGATTCCTTGTACACTTATATAAATGATGTTGTATAATGTAAATCACACGGCAATACAATACAAATTCCTTCTCATTCAACTTAGTTGATGTTGTCCTGTTTCTCGATGCAAACGAGTCATTTTCTGTATCAGCTGGAGAATATTCAGGATTCAGGCCAATTGTATCTACTTCGATGATGATCCATATTATAACTATTTTTATTGTGGAAAACCTTATGGGAGTTACGACATTGAGGTTTATAGTCTTGAGGATCACAGCATCTAACCCCTTCATCCTTTTGTCCTCTAGAAGATTAAGACTGCTCCTATTTGGCTCTTTAGCAGCCCATAATCCGAGTTATGTTTAATTTTTTAGAAGTTCAATCTTTGTTATTTTGTTTGTCTATTTTGGACTCTGAGCATAATCTCTTTAGTTAATTAATTTTCCCATAATCCAAATATTTGCAGTTGGGCAACTAAATATGGACTCTGAGCCTAATCTCTTTAGTTAATTAATTTTCTCATAATCCAAATATTTGCAGTTGGGCAACTAAATATGGACTCTGAGCCTAATCTCTTTAGTTAATTAATTTTCTCATAATCCAAATATTTGCAGTTGGGCAACTTTGCTCTGGCAAATCCAAATATTTGGCCTGTGTTTTAAATGGTTAGGCGTCATTGTTGCATGTGGCTCCATTCACATATTGAATTTTTAACTAATGTTGGGATCCTTGAGGTGAATTGGGAATTTTTTTTTTTTTCCTTTTTTTTTTTTTTTTTCTTTTTTTTTTTTTTTTTAACAATCCACAAAAATTATTTTGAAAGTTTGAAATAAATTTTATTCATTTCATGTTATCATAAAAATTAGGCAATTAATATAATTTTTTAAGGCTATTTTTGTTTTTTTTTTTCTTTTTTTTTTTTTTACATCACAAAATTATTTGAAGTTTGATAAATTTATTCATTTCATGTATCATAAAATTAGGCAATATATATTTAAGCTATTTGATGTTTTTTTTTTCCCTTTCGATTAAATTCAATCTTAGCTTTGAATTTGAATTTCATCTTATTATCAGAATAGCAATTAGAGTATGGAGCTGCAACTGAACAGATGAAAATTTTCTTTAAAAATTATATTTTGGGGAGAGCGTAGCTCTTGCTTTGCACCAAAGAAATTTAGAACTTTTTTTGTCCCATATGCTATTAAAAAAAATGAAGCAGGAAGATCAACAGTACAAAATTTTCTATACAGGGTTTCACCTTCTTATATGGTTGCGGTTTATGCAAGAGATGATTTTGTTAACTTGATCAAATACAAAACTTCTTTGATGACTGAAGCCAGGTAGAAGTTTAGAAATAAGTCTTGTAAGATTTTAAGATATGTGCTAGGCTAAACTTCCTATCTGTTTCCAGAAAATAATTTACACTTGAAAAATAACTTACATTTTAAGGTAAAAGTTTAACATTATACTTATTTAGTAAAACTCAGAGTTAAAAACTCATTTAACATTTAAATAAGCTAACAAGAGTTAATCTCGACTTGAGTTCAAGTGCTACAAAAATTTATCGATCCTAGATTTCTCGAAACTCTAATAAATTCACATTAGTTGTACCCTTATTTTAAATTACTTTTTCCAACATCTAAAAATTCTTTATTTTTCAACAAGCAATTTCAATATTGACGTCATGTAAATGGAGCTATCCTAATATCTACAAAATAATAATAGTTTTGGCCTGAAAAGACAAAGATGCATTTTGCTTGGAACCACAATAGCTAGACCTCAAAGTAAAGGGGAAAAATTTACTTAAGACCCGGTCCATGTTCTCATCTATAGATCATATATATATATAATCTTGAAATCAAAAAAATTTTAAAAAGCTGACTCGGCATGCTCCTATCTCAGGATTTCTTTTTTTCTTTTTTTACAAATTTTTTAATTTTTTAATACACTTTCTTCACATTTCTTTTTCCTTTTTTTACAGATTTGATTGGATTAATTTTTTTGTTTCTTCTTTCGCTTATTTTATTAAAAACTAGTTATTATTTCTGTTTATCAATTGATTTCTCCAGAATTTTTATTGGCGAATATATACTTCTATAATTTCAGAGATATTAGAGCTCTTTCGTAATACATACTTTTACTTTTATAAGTACAAATTGATTAATGTGGTTCTCTAATTGATTTGTAGGCTTCAAGATTGCATGAATTTGATGAGGGTATTTTCCAATATTGGAGTAAAGATAATTTTTATTGGAAAAGCTACAAAGTAATGTTAGGCATCAGCTCTGATACCAATTTTTGGGCATCAGCTTTGATACCACTTATTGGGCCTTTTCAACGAATTAAGAGAAAATTAACGCAGCGAAAAAATAGAAATGGGACACACAAAAATTTACGTGATTCACCCTCAACTGTTTAGGGCTACGCAAGCTCCTGATAAACCAATTTTTTGGGGCATCAGCTTTTGATACCGACTTATTGGGCCTTTTTTCAAACCGAATTTTAAGAAGATATTACGGCAGCGAAAAAAAAATAGAAATGGGAAAACAGCACCAAAAATTTTAACGTGATTTCACCCAATTAAGAGAAAATTAACGCAGCGAAAAAATAGAAATGGGACACACAAAAATTTACGTGATTCACCCTCAACTGTTTAGGGCTACGTCCACAGGACAAACTCCGAATCATTCTTCCACTATTAAAAAAATAGTATGTACACAAAGAGAGTAATACAAAAATAGTGGCACACAAAGTGTTTTCCAAAACACCCAAAAATAATTTCCTCACTATTTTTCTCCCCTTAGTTTTATGAAACCCTTCCTAAAACTAGATAACTAACTCTCTCTACATTTTTCCTTCGTCTTTTTGCTGTGTGTTTCAAATGAAGCAAATCCTCTCCTATTTATAGGAGAGGTAATGTGAGAGTCGTGTGTGAGTTACACACGGCTCTTCATTTATGTTATGGTTGGCTGCCAACTTTTTTACTTTTCCTCTTTTTTTTCTTTCATGTGTGTGGGTCCCACTTGA